CCCTACAACAACAACCCCCATCCCTCCCAAAAACCCCCCAACAAAATCCCACAAAAAACAACAACAAAAACAAACAAACAACTAACATAAGTATAATTATTGGGATCAGCCAAAGCACAACACAGTTTATAATAAAGCTTGCATGATCAGAAGGTTACGGTGTGGATAGCATTGAGCAATCAAGGCACTTTCGGTCACTTTATATTTCTCAGTGAAAATCAGCATCCTATTGCAAGGAACTCTGGCCTACACTTTGTCCCCCTCTCAAAGATCTGGAGAAGAAATGTACTATTAATTGTTGGGGCCGATGGGAGAACAGAGTCAGCAATTTCAGCAAGATGGGGCAGCACTTCATGTCTTCAGAGCTGTTCTGCGCTGAATCAGAAACCACTTTGATAACAGGGCAGTCAGGTCAGTACGACTGAGCATAACTGGGCCCCAAACAGTCCAGACCTGAGGCTACTGGAATTTCACCCTAACCTTAACCCTTACCCTAATTCTAACTCTAAACCTAAGCCTAAGCCTGATCCTAACCTTAACCCCAACTATTATTCTTAGCCTAAGCCTAAGCCTAACCCTACCCCTGACCCTGATCCTAACCCTAACCCTAAACCTGACCCTAACCCTAACCCTAACCCTAATCCAAACCCTAACCCAAACTCTCACCCTGACTCTAACCCTGACCCTGACCATAACCAATTATTGACACAAAACAGGCAAACCGTGGTCAGTCAGGTAGATCATCACTTGGACTTGCACCCAGTTTTTTTTTTGCCCATTACGCTCTCTTCCCCCTTTGGAGGGACGCAGATCCAAATCACTCGTATTGTAATCGTTTTTTTTTTCTTTCTTTGTGTCAACTCCATGTACTTCCACCTTGTTTAGTTAAGTCTGAGAAAAGAGAAACACGTCGACAAAGAACGGTCATTTTGTGCTGCGTGAAAGAAAGGTAAAGAGACAAAAACAACAGAGGAAAAGAAGACAAGTTAAGAAGTACCTACTAGTGACACCAGTCTACCACCCACTTCTAATCTGTTAAAAGTTCAGTAGGTTTTTTTTTGGAAGGGGGGGGGGGGGGTTGTTGAAGAATATATACGGCGCTCTCAGGTACTGCATAATGTTTTTAGAGTGCACCAATTGGTTATTTTCACGTTAGTTTGGAGCACGGCTTGGTTGTTTAGAGTTTAAAGACATCAGTCTACCTCCCACCCCCTACCATCTCTCCGCCCCATCCCTTTTCTGAGGAAAAATAAAATAAACGAAAAAAAGTCGATTGTGAGGCAGCTCGAATCTCTGCAGGGGATTCGTTTTAGCTTGCTTG